TAGGGGCAGGGAGGGTAAGCAGCACCGCGCTGGGGCTGACGCAGCCCCGACCCCGGAGCCAGCTGCTGACGCTGCTGCTGCTGAGGCTGCTGGGAGGAAAGGGGCTGCTGCTGCTGCTGAAGGTGCTGCTGACGCTGAGCCTGGTACCACGCCGCTGCTCCACCTAGCGGGGCCGACAGTACAGGAGGCGACTGACGAGCTCGAGGGTCGCTGCCACCAGCAGGTGCAGTGGAGTCACCGGCCGCTGCACGAGGGGTCTCTCCAGACGCTGCACTCCCACCACCGCCAGTCGCAACAGCACCCCCACTACCTCCGCTACCTCCGCCTCCACCTCCACCGGAACCACCTTTCTTGCCCCCCCTGCCGCGGGACCGCGACGCAGTCGTAACAGCAGCCGCAGTCGCGTCAGTAGCGGCAGTGGCAAGAGAGGCAGTGAAGGTGGGTAACTGCGGGACTGTGCACCCGTGGAAGAGTGGGGGGGATACAGTACCAGAGGCGGCAGCTACCGAACGAAGGTTGCTCTCGACATCCTTGAGTGCAGACTCAAGGACCTCGATAGTCAGCTCACTAGGGTGCTTCAGCAGAAGCGCGTCACGAACGGAGGCAAGGCGGTCAGGGAGGCTAGTGGCGATGAAATAGACAGTAATCGCCATGGGGGGAGGAAGCAGTGCAAGCTGTGCCTCAGTGCAAGCAGCGCGGTAACTAGCGTCAAGCGAGCGGAGGTGAGCGATCAAGTCAGCAGAGCGCTCAAACGAGGCAAGATCAGGAAACAGGAACGGGAGGAAAAGACGGCCGAGAGAGACAGTAGCGGGAGTAGAGTAGCGGGCCTTAATCGCAGTGAGGTACGCAGCAGCGGTGCGAACCTGAGTAAAGTGGACCTCCTCGGACTCAGGGAGGAGGCTGCTGAGTGCGATGCAGGCCGCAGCGTCACGCGACGTCCAAGCCGTCCGGTCAGCGCGCTGACGGGCAAAGCGAGCCGTAGCAGCATCGTCAGGAGCAGGGCCTAAAGCTGTAGGCTCGGGGGGCTCGGGGAGGTCACCAGTAGCGTGTGACCAGAGGGTCTCGCCCCCCTGGACCTGACTCTCTAACAGACGACGAGCGCGAAGAAGCCAGACGGAAAAGTCAAGGGGTCTACCGTCGGCGTCGAAACGAAGAACTCGCGGAGTCGCCATAGTGAGAACGAACAGGCGAGTAACAACCGGGGGGGGAAGAGGACTCAGTCGCAGCGGAAGAGTGGGCTAGGACGACGGGCCAAGACGTAGGGTAGGGCAACGGGCCAGGGCCTAGGGTAGGGCGACGGGCCAGGGCCTAGGAAGGGCGACGCGACGGGGGAAAGGTCAGGGCGACGCGACGGGGCAGGGCGACGCGACGGGACAGGGCGACGCGACGGGGCAGGGCGGCGCGACGGAGCAGGGCGACGGGACAGGGCAGGGCGACGCGACGGGGTAGGGCGACGCGACGGGACAGGGCGACGGGACAGGGCAGGGCGACGCGACGGGACAGGGCAGGGCGACGCGACGGGACAGGGCGACGCGACGGGACAGGGCGACGGGACAGGGCGACGGGACAGGGCGACGCGACGGGACAGGGCGACGGGACGGGGGGGGGTAACAGGCAGGCGCGACGCGACGGGGGGAACGGGCGCGACGCGACGGGGGGGAACGGGCGCGACGCGACAGGGGGAACGGGCGCGACGCGACGGGGGGAACGGGCGCGACGCGACGGGGGGAACGGGCGCGACGTGACAGGGGGAACGGGCGTGACGCGACGGGGGGGGAACAGGCGTGACGCGACGGGGGAGATGACGCTAGGCTCGGTACTAGGCGCGGTAACTACGAAACTGGTACGAACGAGAGGTAGGATCAGGCTCGGGAGGTACGAACGGAGAACGGAGGAACGGGATCCCACAGGATCCTAACCTAGCTGATACCATGTCAGAATGAGGAATGAGTGTTGCATTGATGTTGGTTGGGGTACATATGACAAACCCTAACTTCTGTACCCCCTAAGACAAACCTCACTACAGGCTACAACATTTGACACAGCTGGGGTTGGGTGAGGCAGAGGGGTGCTTTTGAGGGTCAAGTGGAGGGGCAGATGCAGACAGAGAGAAACTGGCATTGTGTATTCTGTTGCGGGCATGCCAATCACAGTTGGGCGGCCCATCCAGCATGAGGATGATGGTGACACTATGGTGGCCATGCCATGCTATGCCCTGCCATGCGATTCACACCTGGGCAGCCCATAGAGCACGAGGATAGTAGTGACAGCGCAATGGTGAGGCACCATCATGGTCTGCTGGGCCACAGACAGACAAGTGCCATCCACCACAGCACAGCTACACCAGGCATGCCATGCCCACCAGGATATCCTCTGCTCGAGGATATCCGCTGCAAGGATATCCTCTGCTCGAGGATATCCGCTGCAAGGATATCCGCTCGAGGATATCCCCGGAATGATATCCGCTCGAGGATATCTGCTCGAGGATATTCGCTGCAAGGATATCTGCTCGAGGATATCCCCGGAATGATATCCGCTCGAGGATATCTGCTCGAGGATATCTGCTGCAAGGATATCCGCTCGAGGATGTCCGTGCGAGGATATCCAGGAGAGGATATCCGCGAGAGGATGTCATGGAGAGGATATCCGCTCGAGGATATCCGCTGCAAGGATATCTGTTGCGAGGATATCCGCTGCAAGGATATCTGTTGCGAGGATATCCGCTCGAGGTTATCCGCGCGAAGATATCCGCGCAAGGATATTCACGCGAGGATATCTGCGCGAGGATATTCACGAGAGGATATTCGCGCGAGGATATTTCTACAAGGATATCCGCAACAAGGATATTAGTGCAATGATATCCGCTCGAGGAGAGCTCGAGAATATCCCCTCGAGGATATCTGCGAGAGAATATCTGGGCGAGGATATCCCCGCATTGATATATGCTCAAGGATATCTGCTCGAGGATATCCGCTGTAAAGATATCCGCTCGAGGACATTCGCGAGAGGATATCCGCGCGAGGATATCCCCGCAAGGATATCCGCTCGAGGATATCTGCTCGAGGATATCCACTACTAGGATATCCTCTCGAGGATATCCACTCGAGGATATCCGCTCGAGGATATCCGCTCGAGGATATCCGCTCGAGGATATCCGCTGCGACGATATCCGCTGCAAGGATATCTGCTCGAGGATATCCGCTCGAGAATATCCGCTGCGAGGATATCCGCTCGAGGATAACCGCGCGAGGATATCCACCGCAAGGATATCCGCTCGAGGATATCCGGCGCGAGGATATCCGGTCGAGGAGATGTCCTCGCAGCGGATATCCTCGCAGCGGATATCCTCGAGCGGATATCCTCGAGCAGATATCCTTGCAGCGGATATCCTTGCAGTGAGGGCGTATTCCTATCCTCCTATCAAGCTCTCACTGGAAAATTCCCTAAACCCAAAATTTCTCGCTACTTTTACCAGGCAAAAGGTACAATCTTGATAGGAGGTTTCTTGATAGGAGGCCGTAGGAATACGCCCTGATATCCTCGAGGAGATGTCCTCGCAGCGGATATCCGCGCGGATATCCTCGAGCAGATGTCCTCGCAGTCGATATCCTCGAGCGGGTATCCTCGAGCAGATATCCTCGAGCAGATGTCCTTGCAGCGGATATCGTCGAGCAGATATCCTTGCAGCGGATATCCTTGCAGGGATATCCTCGCGCGGATATCCTCCTGCGGATATCCACGAGTGGCCATCCTCGGGCGGATATCCTTGAGCGGATATCCTTGAGCGGATATCCTGCGAACAACGCAACAGAGGGGGCGAACAACGCAGCTGAGGGTGCGAGCACCGTAGCTGAGGGTGCGAGCATCTTAGCTGAGTGTGTGTTTGGTGCTGCTTTAGCTAGCATTGATGCGTCTATGTGGTTACATTCTCACATGGTCCAAAGGCTGACCAGAGTAGAGGGATCCATAGTGGCTCTTGCGTACAGTACATAACTTCTCCTGTGTGTGCATGGTGTGGTGCCCTCTCTAGTGTTGACTGTTCTAAAGCAACACGTCAAAACCCGTTGATGCATTTAAGTACGGTATGTGTGCAGCTTTGTATGGTTTTGTACAGCTTTGTAGAGTTCAGCTTAACAAACATCGACAACAATGTACGTCTTTGCGAGGTACTTCCGTAAAGTAGTGGTTAGCAGTGGTCGGAACATGTGTAACTTCTACTCATAATTACATTGCCTTGTTGAGTTCCAGTGAGCCCGGCTTTTGGTTAAGGGTTGCCTTACTGGTCTACCTACTCACAAAGGCCCTTCACCAACATTGGCACTTTGTCGCAGTACTTGTAGCGGTCACAACCCACGGGCCATGCACCAGGCCTAGCACTTCTCAAGTCCCAAAAGCAGCAGCAGCGTCCAGTACGCCCCTTTGATCACCGCCTTCACAATCATCTCGACGTCTCAATAAGACACAAGCCCTGCACTAATGCTTCTTGAGCCCCAGCAGCAGCAGCAGCGTCCAGTACGCCCCTTTGATCACCGCCTTCACAATCATCTCGACGTCTCAATAAGACACAAGCCCTGCACTAATGCTTCTTGAGCCCCAGCAGCAGCAGCAGCAGCGTCCAGTACGCCCCTTTGATCACCGCCTTCACAATCATCTCCACGTCTCAATAAGACACAAGCCCTGCACTAATGCTTCTTGAGCCCCAGCAGCAGCAGCAGCAGCGTCCAGTACGCCCCTTTGATCACCGCCTTCACAATCATCTCCACGTCTCAATAAGACACAAGCCCTGCACTAATGCTTCTTGAGCCCCAGCAGCAGCAGCAGCAGCGTCCAGTACGCCCCTTAGATCACCGCCTTCACAATCATCTCGACGTCTCAATAAGACACAAGCCCTGCACTAATGCTTCTTGAGCCCCAGCAGCAGCAGCAGCAGCGTCCAGTACGCCCCTTTGATCACCGCCTTCACAATCATCTCGACGTCTCAATAAGACACAAGCCCTGCACTAATGCTTCTTGAGCCCCAGCAGCAGCAGCAGCAGCGTCCAGTACGCCCCTTTGATCACCGCCTTCACAATCATCTCTCCGCGCCGTGTGCTGGGAGGGAAGCGTGCCGCCAGGTCCCTAGAGAGGGGTTTGGTGTAGGCGGCCTTGCAGTGGCTGAAGCAGTCCATGGACCAGCGCCCCTTGTACCGCCCCATGCCGCTGTCGCCCACTCCCCCGAATGGTAGCTCCAGGTTGCCCGCCTGCCCCGGAGTGGAAAGAAGGGAGAGATATGGGACAGACAAAGGGAGAGATTGGGGAGGGAAGAAGGTAGAGATGGGTGGTGGCGTGAGAAGGAGAGGTGATTCAGTCGTGAGCATGAGAAGGGGGTGACACCCCCTGTGGGTATTGACACTCCACATTCCATGCCCCAGCTGCACCTTCCTTTAATGCCCCAGGTGCTTCCCTTACACTCTCGTTTTGAGGACAGACTTACCACCCCCTTTCTTCTCCCTGCCCCTCCTCGCTCCCCCTTCCCCTTCCCCCCACCCCTCTCCCCTCCCCCTTGTACACCTACAGGATGGGTTCACAGGCAACCAGAGCACCCCACCTGCTCTCTCTGGTGACGTGAAAGACGTCTCAAAACACTCCTTCTTTCATTTAACCAGAGCACCCCACCTGCTCTCTCTGGTGACGTGAAAGACGTCTCAAAACACTCCTTCTTTCATTTAACCGGAGCACCCCACCTGCTCTCTCTGGTGACGTGAAAGACGTCTCAAAACACTCCTTCTTTCATTTAACCGGAGCACCCGACCTGCTCTCTCTGGTCAAAACACACTCACTAACCGCATGCCTCTCCCTTCCCCTCCTCTCCTTTCCTCCCCTTACCTCAGTCCCCTCTACCCTCGCCGCACCTGCAGGATGAGCTCATTGGTCACCACAGCCCCCGAGCTGCTCTCCTGGAGGAACCGCTGCCTCACGTCCTCTCAAGGCGTGAAGGCCATCACCACTCTCTTGCCTCTCCCTGCCTCTCCCTCTGCACAGCTCCCTCTGGCCTCCTCTCTCTGTCCTCCTCCCTCCTCCTTCCCTTCCCCTCCCTCAACCGCACCTGCAGGATGAGCTTGTTGGCCACGACAGCCCCCGAGCTGGTCTCCTTGAGGAAGCACTCCTGCACCCCCTTGGGTCACAAACACACTCACTAGTCCCTCTCCGCCCCTCACCACACCTGCAGGATGAGCTCGTTGGCCACGACAGCCCCCGAGCTGGTCTCCTTGAGGAAGCGCTGCCTCGTGTCCTCCCGGGACGAGAACACCATCACCACCAGCGGCTTGGGGCGCGCGTTGATGATGTCAATGGCCTCGTCGATTCCCGACACCTGATGGGTATGACAGCGGGAAAGGATAGCAGAGGAAGCACATGGGACGACAGAACACCATCACCACCAGCAGCTTGGGGCGCACGTTGATGATGTCAATGGCCTCATCAATGCCGGACACCTGATGGGTATGACAGCGGGAAAGGATAGCAGAGGAAGCACATGGGACGGCAGAACACCATCACCACCAGCAGCTTGGGGCGCACGTTGATGATGTCAATTGCTTCATCGATGCCCGACACCTGATGGGGGGGAGAGAGAGGGGCAGTGGTGCAGTATGGGCGGAAAGGAAGCGGCTACCATCGGGGCCTCAGGGGCTTGGTGAGAGCGGAATAGAGGCCTGAGGCACGGTGTATAGAAGGCAGCTTGTGGTGGGAGGTGGGGAGAAGGGAAACGAGGAAGGCAGGGATACTAGACGGCTAGGATGAGTCCAAAGACCTCACAGTTTGGATGGCCAGGATGAGGGGTCTCACAGTTTGGATGGCCAGGATGAGGGGTCTCACAGTTTGGATGGCCAGGATGGGTCCAAAGACCTCGGACTGCATGATGGGGGCATCCCAGGGCACGTTGAGCAGCAGTGTTGGTGCAAAGTACCTGGGGGAGACAGGGGGCGGGGGGGGGAGAGGGATGGTTGGGAAGGTGGAAGAGTTTTCTTTCTGTCGAATCATATGTCGCATCCCAGGTAACGTTGACTAGCGTTGGCACTAAGTACCTGGGGGGTTGGTGGAGGGCGGGAAACGCGGGAAGGTTACGTGGCGTGGGTGGGGAGAGGAGTGGGGTAGGGTGGGGTGGGGTGAGCAGAGTGGAGGAGGAGAGGGGTGATGTGGTGGAGGTTCGGAGTGTGCAGCAGGAGGGCGTTGCTGGTGCTTGACTCCTACCGCGGGCACCTGACTGATCAAGTGAGGGCGAAATTCGGCGAGCTGCATATCGTCCCTGCCGTCATACCAGCTGGCTGCACATCGGAGGTTCAGCCCTTTTGAGTCGACTCAAAAGCTGGCTGCACATCGGAGGTTCAGCCCCTGGACGTCGCGGTGAACCGCTCCTTCAAAGCAGCTGTGCGACAACTGTACCAGGAATGGTTTGAGAGCGAGGATGTTGACTGCCTGGCCGAAAGAGGTGAGATTTAATTGAAGGCCTGATTGTTCTTCAACTCTTTACCCTGAGGTGACTTTTGAGTCGACTCAATTGAAGGCCTGATTGTTTTTCAACTGTTTACCCTGTTCTAACTACTGGATCTTTCCATGTGTGGCAGGCAACATCCGCAAGCCACCGCCATAGCTGACGCTCAAGTGGATCTCCAAGGCCTGGAAGGCGGTGCCTAATAGGAAGGGATGGGATAGCATAATAGGAAGGTGGCTTTGTTGCTTTTTTCTTTGTTTGTTTGTTTGTTTGTCTTTTTTTTTCATCTTTGTTTCTGTTTTTGTTTTTGTTTCCTTCACAATTAGTGGCAGGAGTGAGGGGAAACTGGGAAACCGCATTGAGCTGCGTTGAATTGCATTGACCTGCTTCGATTCACCTTGACTCACCTTGACTCACCTTGACTCACCTTGACTCACCTTGACTCACCTTGACTCAACGTCGCTCTGCCCCCCATGCACGACACAGGAGGCGGTGGCAGGGTGCTCGAGCAGCTTCTGCAGGCTCAAAGAGTGACCAGCGTTGACCCTCATTGACTCTGCTTGACTCACCTCGACTCAACATCGCTCTGCCCCCCGTGCACGACACAGGAGGCTGTAGCAGGGTGCTCGAGCAGCTTCTGCAGGCTCAAAGAGTGACCAGCGTTGACCCTCATTGACTCTGCTTGACTCACCTCGACTCAACATCGCTCTGCCCCCCGTGCACGACACAGGAGGCGGTGGCAGGGTGCTCGAGCAGCTTCTGCAGGCTCAAAGAGTGACCAGCGTTGACCCTCATTGACTCTGCTTGACTCACCTCGACTCAACATCGCTCTGCCCCCCGTGCACGACACAGGAGGCTGTAGCAGGGTGCTCGAGCAGCTTCTGCAGGCTCAAAGAGTGACCAGCGTTGACCCTCATTGACTCTGCTTGACTCACCTCGACTCAACATCGCTCTGCCCCCCGTGCACGACACAGGAGGCTGTAGCAGGGTGCTGGAGCAGCTTCTGCAGGCGGAGCACATGAGAGGCGTTGATGATGCGGGCGAGGTCAGGGCAGAGAGCGGGGTTGGTGCCGTAGAACTGCTCGATGGCCGCCTTGAGATGGGGCAGCTGCAGATGTGACAGAGAGGGACACAGAGAGAGAAAGAAGAGCCAGGGAGGGGAGCAGGTGAGGACAGAGAGGTGGGTTAGAGCCCAGCAGCAAATTTACCCTTCCCTAATTCCCCCCTTACCTTGCCCTTGTCCCAACCTCCTTTCTCTCTATCCCTGCTCATTCTGCCCCTATCCCTGTCCATATCGCTGGAGCTTCTGCCCTAATCTGTACCCCTTCTGCTGCTCTATCCCTACACCCGTGCGCACCATTCTCGCAGCCCACCTGCCCACCCTTTGCTTCCCTCCTTCCCTAGCACCCATACCTGCGCGCACGTCGCCCCACACTCTGCCCCTTTCACCCCATCCCCCCCCTCTCAGCCACGTCCTGGGTGGCCAGGATATAGTCGGGCACGAGGCACACCTGCCCTCCCTTGCTTTCTCCCTTCCCCTGCCCCAATACCCTATCCATGCACCTTGTGCCCGTCGCTCTGCCCCTCCTCCCCCACGCACCAGTCTCGCAGCCACGTCCTTGGTGGCGAGGATATAGTCGGGCACCAGGCACACCTGCCTTCTCCTTCTATTCCTCTTACCATTCTGTACCTCTTTCTACCTCCTTATACCAGCCCCTAGACGCACCAGTCTCGCAGCCACGTCCTTGGAGGCAAGGATATAGTCGGGCACGAGGCACACCTGCCCCGCGTTCGTGCACTTGCCCGATACGATCCGCTTCGCTGAGATCTGGAGCGGTGCAACGGGGTTGAGAGCGTGTCAAGGGGCATGGGGCAGGAAGGTGGGGTATGGGGTATGGGGCATCGGAGAAGGGGTGGGAGGCAAAGGAAAAGGGGTGTGTCTTGGGATGGCCATGTGTGACGGGACATGCACATTGCACTCGAGACAGCAGCGCACACCTCCAGGTCAGCAGCACACACCTCCAGGTCAGCAGCACACACCTCCAGGTCAGCAGCACACACCTCCAGGTCAGCAGCACACACCTCCAGGTCAGCAGACTCGTCGATGAACAGTGGATTCTTGCCGCCCAGCTCCAGAGTGACAGGTGTCAGATGCTTACTGGCCGCCTCCATCACAATGCGCCCCAGCGCAGTGCCGCCCGTGAAAAAGATCTTATCCCACCGCCGCCCCAGCAGTGCCTTGCCTGTCTCTGGCCCGCCCTCCACCACCTGATGATTGTGCGGCACGGCACGGCACGGCACGGCAGGGCACGGCAGGGCACGGCACGGCACGGCACGGCAGGGCACGGCAGGGCAGGGCAAGGGCAAGGGCAGGGCAGGGCACGGCAGGGCAGGGCACGGCAGGGCAGGGCAAGGGCAAGGGCAAGGGCAAGGGCAAGGGCAAGGGCAAGGGCAGGGCAAGGGCAAGGGCAGGGCAAGGGCAGGGCAAGGGCAGGGCAAGGGCAGAGGGTTGACAAGGAGCAAGGGAAGAGGAATGGGTGACCTTGTGAGGCGCCCTAGCAGCGCCCTGTGCCTGGCCCAACGCCTGATCATTGCAAGGCAGGGGGAAAGGCAGCAGGGGACGAGGATCTCGGGGAGAGGATAGCACCTGCCTGGGATAGCACCTGCCTGGCATTGCATCTACTTGCCTCAGATAGGGATAGCACCTGCCTGCACGGCCTGTGAGTCGAGGTAGAGAGGGAGGAGGCGCGAGAGGAGGTGAGGGGAGGAGCAGGAGAGCTCTGTGTGCTTCAGAAATCACCTGCGTGGGATAGCACCTGCATGGGATAGCACCTACCTGGGATAGCACCTGCGTGGGATAGCACCTGCGTGGGATAGCACCTGCATGGGATAGCACCTGCATGGGATAGCACCTGCGTGGGATAGCACCTGCGTGGGATAGCACCTGCGTGGGATAGCACCTGCATGGGATAGCACCTGCATGGGATAGCACCTGCGTGGGATAGCACCTGCGTGGGATAGCACCTGCGTGGGATAGCACCTGCGTGGGATAGCACCTGCGTGGGATAGCACCTGCCTGCACGGCCTGCGAGTCGAGGTAGAGGGGCAGGAGGCGAGAGAGCAGGTGCGCGGAGGCGGGGGAGTGCTCTGAGGGCTTGAGCACCACCGCGTTGCCCGCTGCCAGGGCTCCCACTAGTGGCTCCAGAGACAGCACTGTGGGAATGGGGGGGAGGGGTGTGGGGGGTGTGGTGTGGGGGGAGGGGTGTGGGGGGTGTGGTGTGGGGGGTGTGGTGTGGGGGGTGTGGTGTGGGGGGAGTGGTGTGGGGGGAGTGGTGTGGGGGGAGTGGTGTGGGGGGAGTGGTGTGGGGGGCTAGAACCCCACCATGTTACCCGCTGCTAGCGCCCCCATCAGTGGCTCCAGAGACAGCACTGGGGAAATGGGGGGTGGAGAACGGGGGAAGGCAGAGGAATATGCGATGGTAAAGACTTGAGCGGATGAGGCGAGTGAGGGCTTGAGCACCACCGCGCTGCCCGCTGCCTGCCAGGACCCGCACCCCACCCACTCATGAGTCCCGGCACGGCACGGCAGTGGGTGAGGGGGGAGGGAGGGACATGTGAATGCCAATGCTGTTCTGTCAAGGCACATAGCCCAGTCACCAGCACATAGCACAGTCACCAGCACATAGCACAGTCACCAGCACATAGCACAGTCACCAGCACATAGCACAGTCACCAGCACATAGCACAGTCACCAGCACATAGCACAGTCACCTGCACATAGCACAGTCACCAGCAACATAGCACAGTCACCAGCACATAGCACAGTCACCAGCACATAGCACAGTCACCAGCACATAGCACAGTCACCAGCACATAGCACAGTCACCAGCACATAGCACAGTCACCAGCACATAGCACAGTCACCAGCACATAGCACAGTCACCAGCACATAGCACAGTCACCAGCACATAGCACAGTCACCAGCACATAGCACAGTCACCAGCACATAGCACAGTCACCAGCACATAGCACAGTCACCAGCACATAGCACAGTCACCAGCACATAGCACAGTCACCAGCACATAGCACAGTCACCAGCACATAGCACAGTCACCAGCACATAGCACAGTCACCAGCACATAGCACAGTCACCAGCACATAGCCCAGTCACCAGCACATAGCACAGTCACCAGCACATAGCACAGTCACCAGCACATAGCACAGTCACCAGCACATAGCCCAGTCACCAGCACATAGCACAGTCACCAGCACATAGCACAGTCACCAGCACATAGCACAGTCACCAGCACATAGCACAGTCACCAGCACATAGCACAGTCACCAGCACATAGCCCAGTCACCAGCACATAGCACAGTCACCAGCACATAGCACAGTCACCAGCACATAGCACAGTCACCAGCACATAGCCCAGTCACCAGCACATAGCACAGTCACCAGCACATAGCACAGTCACCAGCACATAGCACAGTCACCAGCACATAGCACAGTCACCAGCACATAGCACAGTCACCAGCACATAGCACAGTCACCAGCACATAGCACAGTCACCAGCACATAGCCCAGTCACCAGCACATAGCCCAGTCACCAGCACATAGCACAGTCACCAGCACATAGCACAGTCACCAGCACATAGCACAGTCACCAGCACATAGCACAGTCACCAGCACATAGCACAGTCACCAGCACATAGCACACTCACCAGCACATAGCCCAGTCACCAGCACATAGCACAGTCACCAGCACATAGCACAGTCACCAGCAACATAGCACAGTCACCAGCACATAGCACAGTCACCAGCACATAGCACAGTCACCAGCACATAGCACAGTCACCAGCACATAGCCCAGTCACCAGCACATAGCACAGTCACCAGCACATAGCACAGTCACCAGCACATAGCACAGTCACCAGCACATAGCACAGTCACCAGCACATAGCACAGTCACCAGCACATAGCACAGTCACCAGCACATAGCACAGTCACCAGCACATAGCACAGTCACCAGCACATAGCACAGTCACCAGCACATAGCACAGTCACCAGCACATAGCACAGTCACCAGCACATAGCACAGTCACCAGCACATAGCACAGTCACCAGCACATAGCACAGTCACCAGCACATAGCACAGTCACCAGCACATAGCACAGTCACCAGCACATAGCACAGTCACCAGCACATAGCCCAGTCACCAGCACATAGCCCAGTCACCAGCACATAGCACAGTCACCAGCACATAGCACAGTCACCAGCACATAGCACAGTCACCAGCACATAGCACAGTCACCAGCACATAGCACAGTCACCAGCACATAGCACAGTCACCAGCACATAGCCCAGTCACCAGCACATAGCACAGTCACCAGCACATAGCACAGTCACCAGCACATAGCACAGTCACCAGCACATAGCACAGTCACCAGCACATAGCACAGTCACCAGCACATAGCACAGTCACCAGCACATAGCACAGTCACCAGCACATAGCACAGTCACCAGCACATAGCACAGTCACCAGCACATAGCACAGTCACCAGCACATAGCACAGTCACCAGCACATAGCACAGTCACCAGCACATAGCACAGTCACCAGCACATAGCACAGTCACCAGCACATAGCACAGTCACCAGCACATAGCACAGTCACCAGCACATAGCACAGTCACCAGCACATAGCCCAGTCACCAGCACATAGCACAGTCACCAGCACATAGCACAGTCACCAGCACATAGCACAGTCACCAGCACATAGCACAGTCACCAGCACATAGCACAGTCACCAGCACATAGCCCAGTCACCAGCACATAGCCCAGTCACCAGCACATAGCCCAGTCACCAGCACATAGCACAGTCACCAGCACATAGCCCAGTCACCAGCACATAGCCCAGTCACCAGCACATAGCACAGTCACCAGCACATAGCACAGTCACCAGCACATAGCACAGTCACCAGCACATAGCCCAGTCACCAGCACATAGCCCAGTCACCAGCACATAGCACAGTCACCAGCACATAGCACAGTCACCAGCACATAGCACAGTCACCAGCACATAGCACAGTCACCAGCACATAGCACAGTCACCAGCACATAGTACAGTCACCAGCACATAGCACAGTCACCAGCACATAGCACAGTCACCAGCACATAGCACAGTCACCAGCACATAGCCCAGTCACCAGCACATAGCCCAGTCACCAGCACATAGCACTGTCACCAGCACATAGCACAGTCACCAGCACATAGCACAGTCACCAGCACATAGCACAGTCACCAGCACATAGCACAGTCACCAGCACATAGCCCAGTCACCAGCACATAGCACAGTCACCAGCACATAGCCCAGTCACCAGCACATAGCACAGTCACCAGCACATAGCCCAGTCACCAGCACATAGCACAGTCACCAGCACATAGCACAGTCACCAGCACATAGCACAGTCACCAGCACATAGCCCAGTCACCAGCACATAGCACAGTCACCAGCACATAGCACAGTCACCAGCACATAGCCCAGTCACCAGCACATAGCACAGTCACCAGCACATAGCACAGTCACCAGCACATAGCACAGTCACCAGCACATAGCACAGTCACCAGCACATAGCCCAGTCACCAGCACATAGCACAGTCACCAGCACATAGCCCAGTCACCAGCACATAGCCCAGTCACCAGCACATAGCACAGTCACCAGCACATAGCACAGTCACCAGCACATAGCACAGTCACCAGCACATAGCACAGTCACCAGCACATAGCACAGTCACCAGCACATAGCCCAGTCACCAGCACATAGCCCAGTCACCAGCACATAGCCCAGTCACCAGCACATAGCACAGTCAGCACATAGCACAGTCACCAGCACATAGCACAGTCACCAGCACATAGCACAGTCACCAGCACATAGCACAGTCACCAGCACATAGCACAGTCACCAGCACATAGCCCAGTCACCAGCACATAGCACAGTCACCAGCACATAGCACAGTCACCAGCACATAGCACAGTCACCAGCACATAGCACAGTCACCAGCACATAGCACAGTCACCAGCACATAGCACAGTCACCAGCACATAGCACAGTCACCAGCACATAGCACAGTCACCAGCACATAGCACAGTCACCAGCACATAGCACAGTCACCAGCACATAGCACAGTCACCAGCACATAGCACAGTCACCAGCACATAGCACAGTCACCAGCACATAGCACAGTCACCAGCACATAGCACAGTCACCAGCACATAGCACAGTCACCAGCACATAGCACAGTCACCAGCACATAGCACAGTCACCAGCACATAGCACAGTCACCAGCACATAGCACAGTCACCAGCACATAGCACAGTCACCAGCACATAGCACAGTCACCAGCACATAGCACAGTCACCAGCACATAGCACAGTCACCAGCACATAGCCCAGTCACCAGCACATAGCCCAGTCACCAGCACATAGCCCAGTCACCAGCACATAGCACAGTCACCAGCACATAGCCCAGTCACCAGCACATAGCCCAGTCACCAGCACATAGCACAGTCACCAGCACATAGCACAGTCACCAGCACATAGCACAGTCACCAGCACATAGCCCAGTCACCAGCACATAGCCCAGTCACCAGCACATAGCACAGTCACCAGCACATAGCACAGTCACCAGCACATAGCACAGTCACCAGCACATAGCACAGTCACCAGCACATAGCACAGTCACCAGCACATAGTACAGTCACCAGCACATAGCACAGTCACCAGCACATAGCACAGTCACCAGCACATAGCACAGTCACCAGCACATAGCCCAGTCACCAGCACATAGCCCAGTCACCAGCACATAGCACTGTCACCAGCACATAGCACAGTCACCAGCACATAGCACAGTCACCAGCACATAGCACAGTCACCAGCACATAGCACAGTCACCAGCACATAGCCCAGTCACCAGCACATAGCACAGTCACCAGCACATAGCCCAGTCACCAGCACATAGCACAGTCACCAGCACATAGCCCAGTCACCAGCACATAGCACAGTCACCAGCACATAGCACAGTCACCAGCACATAGCACAGTCACCAGCACATAGCACAGTCACCAGCACATAGCACAGTCACCAGCACATAGCACAGTCACCAGCACATAGCACAGTCACCAGCACATAGCACAGTCACCAGCACATAGCACAGTCACCAGCACATAGCCCAGTCACCAGCACATAGCACAGTCACCAGCACATAGCCCAGTCACCAGCACATAGCACAGTCACCAGCACATAGCCCAGTCACCAGCACATAGCACAGTCACCAGCACATAGCACAGTCACCAGCACATAGCACAGTCACCAGCACATAGCACAGTCACCAGCACATAGCCCAGTCACCAGCACATAGCACAGTCACCAGCACATAGCACAGTCACCAGCACATAGCCCAGTCACCAGCACATAGCACAGTCACCAGCACATAGCACAGTCACCAGCACATAGCACAGTCACCAGCACATAGCACAGTCACCAGCACATAGCCCAGTCACCAGCACATAGCACAGTCACCAGCACATAGCCCAGTCACCAGCACATAGCCCAGTCACCAGCACATAGCACAGTCACCAGCACATAGCACAGTCACCAGCACATAGCCCAGTCACCAGCACATAGCACAGTCACCAGCACATAGCCCAGTCACCAGCACATAGCACAGTCACCAGCACATAGCCCAGTCACCAGCACATAGCACAGTCACCAGCACATAGCACAGTAACCAGCACATAGCACAGTAACCAGCACATAGCACAGTAACCAGCACGTACAGAACGGAGAGAAAGAAAACCAATTTCGATACAGAGGAAAAGTAAAAAAAAAAGAGGAGAGGCGGTAGGAAGGGACGTACAGAAGGGGAAATTCCAGGGCGCGATGATGAGCAGCACGGGCAGTGGAACAGCAGTGAGGTTTCATGACCTTTACGCTTGGTGCCCGGTCCAGGGAAGTTGTAAGGAGAGGTGAAGGACAGGGGACGTACGGAAGGGGAAGTTCCAGGGCGCGATGATGAGCACCACACCCAGCGGCTCGTACACCACCTCTGAGTGGCCTGGCCTCAACGTCAGGGGCGTGCCCACCTGGTGTGGTACGTGGAGGGGGGGGCTGGAGGGGGAGAGGCTACTGAGGCAACTTGTTGAGGCGCCTCACAACACACCCAGCGGCTCATACACCACCTCTGAGTGGCCTCGCCTGGCCTCAACGACAGGGGTGTGCTTACCTGGTGGAGAGGGGGGGGGGGGGGGGGACTTTATATCCGACTTTGGAGGCGACTTTTTAGGCGACCTACCTATGTGCCACCCATCAGTTTCACCCATCAGTTTCCCCCATCAGTTTCCCCCATCAGTTTCACCCATCAGTTTCACCCATCAGTTTCACCCATCAGTTTCCCCCATCAGTTTCACCCATCAGTTTCACCCATCAGTTTCCCCCATCAGTTTCCCCCATCAGTTTCCCCCATCAGTTTCACCCATCAGTTTCACCCATCAGTTTCACCCATCAGTTTCCCCCATCAGTTTCACCCATCAGTTTCACCCATCAGTTTCCCCCATCAGTTTCACCCATCAGTTTCACCCATCAGTTTCCCCCATCAGTTTCCCCCATCAGTTTCCCCCATCAGTTTCACCCATCAGTTTCACCCATCAGTTTCACCCATCAGTTTCCCCCATCAGTTTCACCCATCAGTTTCACCCATCAGTTTCCCCCATCAGTTTCCCCCATCAGTTTCCCCCATCAGTTTCACCCATCAGGTTCACCCATCAGTTTCACCCCATCAGTTCTACCCACCCAGGCGCACCTTTTGTGGCTGCACCCATTTCTTGAAGTGCTTAAGCATGTGACTCGCAGCCTTCCCCACGCCCTCTCCCCACCCATTGCCCCCACTCCGCCCCTCAAGCCCCCTCACCTCACCCCACCCAACCAGGCGCACCTTTTGCGGTTTGACCCACTTCTTGAAGTGCTTCAGCATGTGACTCGCAGCCTTCCCCACGCCCTCTCCCCACCCATTGCCCCCACTCCGCCCCTCAAGCCCCCTCACCTCACCCCACCCAACCAGGCGCACCTTTTGCGGTTTGACCCACTTCTTGAAGTGCTTCAGCATGTGACTCGCAGCCTTCCCCATGCCCTCTCCCCACCCATTGCCCCCACTCCGCCCCTCAAGCCCCCTCACCTCACCCCACCCAACCAGGCGCACCTTTTGCGGTTTGACCCACTTCTTGACAAGGTGCAAAAAAACGGCCGAAACTTTGAAATTTCGGCGTAAAAAACGGCATCGTAGTTTTCGGTCGTAAAAAACGGTTTAAAACGGTAAAACCATGTCATTTTGTGCTGGTGCAAAAAAACGGCCGTTTTTTTCGACCGAAACTTTGAAACCATCGTTGTAACTCATAATTAGTGGATTTTTAAAGGGGATAGGAATTGCTTGCCGTTTTCACTGTCGATTTCCGACATGCGGCCCGTTGAATTTTCTCGAGCCGCGAATTCAGTCTGAACCGAGTCGCGCATTTCAACATTTGACGACAGGATTACATATTTCGCCACATGCGGACCGTTTTCGCGCCAGCTGACAATGTGTTTTCTCGCATACAGAGGGTGTCGCAATTTTCGCGCAATGCTAATGCAAAGCGCGACCAATCAGAACACCCCTACAGTGTTGGTCGAGTCGCCCCGAATGCAGCATTTCGCGATCGCGAACTGAAGACACTACCCGCTTCGTTATTTTTTTCAAATTTTCGCGTTAGAAGCGAAAATGTTTCGCGCATGCGGGGTGTGTCGCAAAGCGCATGCCACTCGAGAGTCGCAACCAATCACAGCAGCCCAAGCCCAATCTTCCGAAGTGAGTTGCTCATCCTCAACTCGACAATGCACTTCAGCTCCCGAAGTACAAAGAGGCTCTGTCCAGGGCCTCTTAACTCATAGCCACTGAGGCTATTCCAGCACTCTCTCTATCAGATTAGCCACCCCAAGCCTTGCACCATGGTTCAACCGCAGTCACGCTATTGGCTGCACGTTAGGAAAGAGACGGCGGAAGATGGTACAATCACTAGCTGCGTGTGCCTTCACTGCCATTTGCCGGTAACCCCAAACGCAACTAGAATTGGGGAGCACCTTTTAGGCACTCCAAGCTCCAAGCATAAGAACATAGCGATCTGCGAATCAGATTATGCGAAGCAGCTGCGAGCGTCGTCCGTCGAGGAGCGTTCGTCCTTCGAAGACGGCTCTAATGAAGCGTCTACGTCCACTATGGAGGTGCAGTTACCCCGGCGCTCACGACAGCGGGACATTCGGGAGATGGCCGACGTGACAGCGCGCGGACGCTTGGACTACCTGTGGGCGGCTGCTGTGGCGGAAAACGACCTGGCGTTTAGGACGTCTTCGTCTAAGGCGATGCAAGCGTTTGTGGATGCAGTCGCTGCATTCGGGAAGGCCTACACCTTACCTTCGGCATACAAGGTGGCGGGCCCACTTCTTGTCAAGTTGAAGCTCGACACAGAGGAGCTCATCAAGCCAATCAAAGAGAGTTGGCCGAGAAGCGGATGCACCCTCACGATGGACGGTTGGACGTGCCTGAAAAGCCGGGGCATGATTTGCGTCATCGCCCAAAACGACACCGCGCCGGTGATTGTGGACTGCGTCGACTCCAAAACCGCGAAGAAAGCTGGAGAGTACCTCGCGAAGCTCATCCAACATGCGATTTGCGAGGTGGGGGACAGCCACGTTGTCCAAGTCGTCATGGACAACGCGGCTAACAACAAGCGCACGGCAAACTTGCTCAAGGACGGGTACCCGCAAGTCTTCTTCACCAATTGTGCGGCCCACGTCTTGGACCTCATGCTTCACTATATGGGGAAGGTCAAGGCGGTGAAGAGGGTCCTCAACCAGGTGCATCGGGTTGTGATGATGGTCAAGGGGAGTGCATCGGCCGTCACACTTTTCCGTGAGTTGTTTAGCAAGCTAGCGCTTGTCCGCCCTGGTGCTACTCGTTTTGGAACGCAAGTGATCATGATCGAGCGTTTCCTTGAGGTTAAAAAGGCATTGAAGGAGATGGTGATTAGTGAGGAGTGGAAAAGTGTAGCGGTGGCGAACACGGAGGAGGGGCACGCTGTACGTGGTCTCCTCTTAGAGGAGACGTTTTGGGACTCCGTCACGGCCATTCTCGGCCTCATGAAGCCCATCTACGAGGTGCTACGCATCGTTGACCGGCGGTCCCTTGTGATGGGGAGCGTCTACGGCCTCATGCTTGAGGCTACGGTCAAGTCCAACGAAGCGGCAACGAAGGCGGGTAAGTTCAATGTATTAAACATATGAATCAATTAGTTCAACGATCCTGTCCCTACCCTACACCAGCCATTCCGACGCTATTACTCACCATGAATTTGTTGCTCTTACCGCGTGCGCAGCTGCCCAACTCTCCAAGAAAACCGGTTTGCTTCCGGGAAACAAGAAGGCCGCGTTTCTTGCTGCGTTTAAGGCTATCATAGCCAACCGATGGGACGGACAGCTGCACAACCCCCTCCACGCCTTGGGGTGGCTTCTAAACCCGAAGAATCAGTACGTAGGCGAGATTCGGGAGGATGCGGAACTGAGGGCGGGGGCTGAAGAGGTGTTTAAGGCAAGGGGGGGCAGTGTTGAGATGCGGACGATGCTAGCGGTGCGACTAGCCGCTTTTCACAAGGGAGAGGGGAAGTTGGGGTCTGTGGATGCGCGGTGGGCTGCCACCATCTTGGTGGAGAGTGGGAGGCTCTCCGCGGCTGAGTGGTGGGCGCTGTATGGGGGTGAGGTTCGTGCTTTGCAAAAGATTGCGGTGATGTTGCTCTCCCAGCCCGTGACTTCATCCGAGGTCGAGCGGTACTGGTCCGCTCTCGCAAGGGTCCAAAGGCGGGACCGCAACCGGCTGAATGCCACGTCCATGACGGACGTGGCATTCGTGGCATTTGGCCGGCGAGCTCGGGAGTCCTATGACAAAAAAACAGAGGCCCGTGCTAAGCTCTACAGCGAGTTGAGCAATGGATCGCTGCAGGAGGGCAGCACAAGCGTTCTTCTTTCTCTTCCGGTGGAGGCGGAGGTGGATGAGGAGGAGGAGGCGGGGGGGGAGCCGTGTACCATTGACTGGGACACCTTCGGGAACATTGGCAAGCGGGTGACCAAAAGGAAGCGCGCAAATCTGAAGAAGAAGAAGAAGAAGAGTGCTTCCAAGGGCAGCGGGTCCCGCAAGGGGAAGGAGAAGGTTTGTGAGGAAGAGGAAGAAGAGGCGGAGGATGGGAGCAGTGATGATGACAGTGGTCCGGATGAACCAACTAAGCGGAAGAACAAGGGGGTGAATGCGTGGGATTGTAGCGACGGGAGTAGCAGGGAGGAGGAGGATGACGAGGAGGATGAGGAAGAGGAGGAGGATTAGGACTAAGTAGGAGGAGGGGGCTGAAGGATAACTTATCGGTAAGAGGAGGGGGCTGAAGGGTAAGGACTAGATCAGAGGAGGGGGCTGAAGGATAAGGACTAGGTAAGAGGGGGTAGAAGGAGTAGGAGTAGGTAGTTAGGAGGAAGGAGGAGGGACCTGACTGTGTTTGCTCATTTCTGACTAGTTTTTAGCATGTTACTTTCCGTTTGTATGCTGCCCTGTTCTGGAATCATCTATGAACCCTTTCTGTTTTTTTTTTTTTTGGCACAAAAATCTCCAACAAAAAAACGGCCGAAATTTTGAAAAAACAGCGTAAAAAACGAGCGTTTTAAACGAAGCGTATTTTACCCCAACCGAAATTTTGAACCTTGCTTCTTGAAGTGCTTCAGCATGTGACTCGCAGCCTTCCCCACGCCCTCTCCCCACCCATTGCCCCCACTCCGCCCCTCAAGCCCCCTCACCTCACCCCACCCAACCAGGCGCACCTTTTGCGGTTTGACCCACTTCTTGAAGTGCTTCAGCATGTGGCTCGCAGCCTTCCATACGCCCAGCACCTGCGTGCGCAACGGGTTGGGGGTGAGCGGGGGCAGGAGGACGAGCGGCAACGTTCAATGCAATGCAGTGTCGCTGCACTGCAGCAGAGAAGCCCCTCCAAACATGTGGCGTGCACTGCAGCAGAGAAGCCCCTCCAAACATGTGGCGTGCACTGCAGCAGAGAAGCCCCTCCAAACATGTGGCGTGCACTGCAGCAGAGAAGCCCCTCCAAACATGTGGCGTGCAATGCAGCAGAGAAGCCCCTCCAAACATGTGGCGTGCAATGCAGCAGAGAAGCCCCTCCAAACATGTGGCGTGCACTGCAGCAGAGAAGCCCCTCCAAACATGTGGCGTGCAATGCAGCAGAGAAGCCCCTCCAAACATGTGGCGTGCACTGCAGCAGAGAAGCCCCTCCAAACATGTGGCGTGCACTGCAGCAGAGAAGCCCCTCAAACATGTGGCGTGCACTGCAGCAGAGAAGCCCCTCCAAACATGTGGCGTGCACTGCAGCAGAGAAGCCCCTCCAAACATGTGGCGTGCACTGCAGCAGAGAAGCCCCTCCAAACATGTGGCGTGCACTGCAGTGTGACAGTGTCTCATCAGCATGTGGCTTGCCGCGCCCCATGCGGCTGAAGTTGGATTGCATGTGGCAGAGCGGGAAGCGAGGGACGACCGGCATGTCACTCACTCACTGCCCCACGCCTCTCACTGCCCCACGCCTCTCACTGCCCCACGCCTCTCACTGCCCCACGCCTCTCACTGCCCCACGCCTCTCACTGCCCCACGCCTCTCACTGCCCCACGCCTCTCACTGCCCCACGTCTCTCACTGCCCCACGCCTCTCACTGCTCGATTCTTGCTCCCCGACTCACACTCCCCCAATGCCACTCCCCCAATGCCACTCCCCTAATGCCACTCCCCCAATGCCACTCCCCCAATGCCACTCCCCCAATGCCACTCCCCCAATGACATTCCCCCAATGCCACTCCCCCAATGCCACTCCCCCAATGCCACTCCCCCAATGCCACTCCCCCAATGCCACTCCGCCAATGACATTCCCCCAATGCCACTCCCCCAATGCCACTCCCCCAATGCCACTCCCCCAATGCCACTCCCCCAATGACATTCCCCCATGTCCGTTTCTCAACGTCAGCCTTTCGTTGTTCGCCCTCTCGATGCCATCGGCACACCGCTTCCCAATCCCTAAAAAAAAATGCATCTCACAAGAACCAGAAGCAATGCACATGACATGAATCTGTAAAAGAACCCTCAATACCTCGATAAGCGCCTCCATGCGGCCGCGCCCCATGGCGCGGTCATGATGTCGTCCTCGTGCTCCTCCGCCATGCGCACCACATGCGCATCCCACCCGCACCCTCGCACTCTCTCTGTATCAACGCCCCACACCCAGTGCCACACCTCGATGAGCGCCTCCATGCGCCCGCGCCCCAGATCGGTCTTGAGCGCGGTCATGATGTCCTCCTCGTGCACCCGCACCCTCGCACTCTCTCTGTATCAACGCCCCACACCCAGTGCCACACCTCAATGAGGGCTTCCATGCGGCCGCGCCCCAGATCGGTCTTGAGCGCGGTCATGATGTCCTCCTCGTGCTCCTCCGCCATGCGCACCAGGTTGCGCAGCTGCTGCTCGCGCCACGCCAAGTTCCGAGTCTCGCCCGTCCGGAACTTCAGACGAAGCTTCGCCGCGAGTTCCTCCGCGGCCGCGTCGTCCAAGGTCTCGCCTTTCCTGCCGCCCTCCTCCACGCACGATGCCGCCGCGCTGCCGCCCTGGTACGGCCGATCCATGCTGGAAACGAGGCTGCTTTTATCGAGAGAAAAAGCGGTCGTGGTCAGAATGGGGAGTGGGACGCAGCGCGCGGGAGACGAGGCTGAAAGGGAATTGGGGACGACGAAGCGCAAACGAGTGTGGGTACTTTGCAACGACTCGATTGATTGTAAAGCTTATCACTTGGAGTAAGTGCGAGCAGAGGAAAAGCCAGGAACGATTGACGAACAAGATCGTCCCACCAATGGCAGCACAAGTGTGAGCGCCTTGGCTAGATACCGTCAGGTAGCATCAAGTGTGTTCCACTTCAGAGAGATGGCTTGGGCGGGTGCTGGTGAGTAGGCAGAGGTTGACATGCATTGATGCGTCGGCGCGGAGAGACCTGAGGAGATGAGGCTTGAAAGGACTGAGGTCATTTTTATGCAATTAGAATGGAGTATGATACACTAACGCAGTGATAGATAATTGGGGACGATATGTATTGTAGAAAGTCATATGAATGTTGCGAGTGAGCAAGCCAGAGGCGGAAGACTTCGTACGCCGCCGAACGTATACGTTTTAAAAATTATTTTGTCGAACTATTAACGTGCGCCTGTAACTCAGTGGATAGAGTGTTCGCTTCCTAAGCGAGAGGTCCAAGGTTCGACCCCTTGCTGGCGCGCTATATCTCCTTTTTCTTGGTTCTGGAGTTCCATTGAGAACAATCACCCAACCACCGACATCTGCTGTTTTTGAATTCGCTGGCTACTGTCGCATACCATCCGATCGTCGCTAGTTGAGCATCTGACACCCGTTCGCGACAGCTGTTATGCTCTGCGTTTTCACCTGATTGGCTCTTACCAATTGCGAGTCGCTGATGATTGCGCCCCCTGTCCCTCAGCGAATCGTATTCTTCGAACCGCATTCGCTTGTTTCAAAATTTCCCATCCGACATCTTCCAAGTAACGTTTCGCAGAGGCACTAGGTTTGGCGTGCTTTGTGGCGCCCTTCCTCCCGCGCCCATTTCTCCAATTCACCACAACGGATTAGCGACTCCTGCACACAGCCATCCTCCCTCCTAGTTCAACCTTACACAACCTGTGCCTTGCTTTGCTGCAGAACTCCGCGTCCGTATATTGTGTGCTTTGGCGGCTAGGTTAAGAGGACGAATTTTGTCGGCCCAACAGGCGCCACGACCGTCCGTGGCGGTGGTCTTTGCTCACCGTCCTACATTCTTGTTAACATATACTACCACTCTGGTGATAAGCGAGTACCGCACCTCAGTTCCGATATAAATTCCTTTGACCCTCACAGAGTCGGTAAAACGGCCACTTGTTTTGCGACGCTGTTCATTCAACTCACAGAAGGTCCCGCTGCCATAGCTTTCCAGTGCACCGCTCGCACACTCGTGTTCTGTCGTAGCACCTAGCTCGTTAAGACCGCAACCAGCACATTCAGATCGCAAGCAGCACGCTCGTGCCTCACCCTCTCGCTCTCGCAGTCCGCGCCACTCGCCGGCATGGCGAGGCTCACAGCCGTTCTGACTGCGTGCATCCTCCTGTGCGCGTTCCACGCAGAGCTCGCCCACGCACAGGTACCACTCCCTCCCTCTCCGCCCACTATCGCCCTCCGCGCCCTTCTGCCCCTCGTGTCTGCCCCCCTGCTGCTGCCCCCCGTCTTCCTTCTCCTGTACAATTTACCAGGCAAAGCTCGCACCTTGCTGTGTTTCTTCTGCATTATCCGCTGGCCACCGTCCCCCCATCTCCTCCCACCGCTCGTCCGCACCCGCCACACCTCCAACCCCCCTCACCCACCCCTCCCATCCTCAACCATCGCTATTCTTCTCAATAGTGCCTCTTCTATTCGTTCCTTCCTTCTCGCCTTTCCCGCTTCTCCCATCGCCCTACATCCGCGCAGCTGACAACACAGGGGAAGCTATACGAGGTGGGGTCGGGGCTACTGCGCTACTTCAGTCCGTGGAATCAGGGCGTGGTGGGCTGGATTCCCCCCCGGAACATCAAGCCCGGCGATATCATTTGTAAGCCACGCCCCACTCTCTTTAACGGGCCTGTAAAGTAGACCGATATGCTACGTCAGTCCGTGGAATCAGGACGTGGTGGGTTGGATTCCCCCGAGGAACATCAAGCCCGGCGATATCATACGTAAGCCACGTCGCACGGCGACTTGGGTTTACTGGGGTGACGAATATGCGCTTCCCAATCAACACTGCTCTTTGAGAAGGCGTTTTCCCGTTCGACCGCAATCGAGCCAGCCTTTGTGCTTTGCAAAAAGGAAGCTCCCCCCGTTTGCACTTCGTCGCCCGTCCCTTTCCCTCTCTGATCCCCTGTTTCATCCATCCTCCCCCGCCCATCAATCCCCGTAATGCAGTGTTCCGCTGGCTGGGCCGGCACGACGTGCGGCAGTTCCCGACGATCATCGGGTATAGCACGTGCAGCTTCTTCCTCTCCAAGACGCTCGCGTCCGGCACCTATTTCGGATTCTACCGCTACATAGTGAAGCCCACGGACAAGGGCACCACTCTCTACTTCGGCAGCAGCATTGGCGACGACTGCCAGCGCGACATGAAGGTCGCCATCCCCATTCCCTAGGCGAAATGTGGGTTACCACGTGGTAACCCGCATCGCCTGTGCGGGACGCGTGGACGTGTGGTCGCTAGGAGAGAAGTGATTATTAATGGTTAGGGTCAGGGTAGGAGGGTAACGGGAGAAGATAACCTTAATTGTAGTGGTACACTTGTGTGTACCCGAAGCAATTGTTTAATATATTTAACAGTTGGCAGAAAAACAAATTCTTGCGATCTAACTTCTCGTACGGCGGCGAGTGAGCGAGTGAGAGTGCGGTGGTGGCAGCAGGGATGGATGGAGGAGAGGCGAGGAAAGTATGTGAGGACGGGCTGCTGCTGTGTTCCCCTTGCCCTCTCGCCCTCTCACTATCTCAACTGTAATTACGGTACGTGCTCTGTGTCTAAACAAGCAGCACAGAAGCATTGCAGCACTGTGGATCTCTAGTCCAGCCACTAGTGCATTCCATACCCATGAGAGTTGCGCACTGAAGCAGCGTCCGGCTCCAAACTAGGCTGCTTTCCCATCGCAGGGAGTGTGCCGCCATGTACGTCGTCTACTGCTGCTGCTGCTGCTGCTGCTGCTGCTAAAGCAGCTTTTTGCACTGGCTAAGCACTGTATGTGTGGCACACAGCATCTCAGTGCAAGCAGGAGCCTCACATGCAAGAAGCTCTGGAATAACAAGAAACTCAAAGCACACGCTCCAGAAACAGCAATATCTGTCAGTCACAACAGCAAATACACACCAATCGAGTCTAAGTGCAACACCAACATCGCACCCCTAGCTGTTCCACTCCACGCTGCCCAGCCCATCCATCCCTGGAAGCTCACTGTAGAGCATCAGCAGCCTGTGCGGGAGAGCAGGACTAAGGGCCTGCCTGTTCTGCCTACCGTATGTGGCAGCTGGTAGCTGCGCTACTACCGTATCACACCACAATGCTCAGCACCCCACAGATCAAGACTCAAGGCTCCACAAGGGCTGGTGAAGGGGAGAGTGCTGTGGGGGCATCGACACAACCGGCTGCAGAATGCAGAGGGCAAGCAGAATTCCTAGGATGTGCGCCATTCATTGACTATCCTCCCTGTTGAGGGGGTGGGCGTGGGCAACGCCCTTGCGATAGTAGGTAGGTCAAGTGTATACATGTGTGTCACCACCAACATCCAAGGAAACAGTTATAGAGTGTACACGAGCGTGCTATGCTGTGCGAGTCTTAGAGAGCTCTCACCAACCAGCGGTGAGTAACCAGCGGTGAGTGACTACCGCAGTACACCGAGGGCTAGCCCCACCGGCCGGTCACTTGCTGCCTACCGTACATGCCAGGGCGCCTGGCAGCAGCGCTCTCCAGCCATGCCACGCACATGCCAAGGGCTCGTGAGGGGAGCACTGGTGCATGCAGATGCTGATGATGACTGCACGCCTAGGGGGTGCAGAGTAGGCACTAGGGCATGAGAGGGCGCCTGGCAGCAGCGGTGTCCAGCCATGCCACGCACATTCCAAGGGCTTGTAAAAGGTGCATATCACTACTTGCACAGGAGCAGTCACAGCGTGCGCATGAGAGGCCTTGCGCTACATGCTGCCTAGATGAGAGGGCGCCTGGCAGCAGCACTGTCAAGCCATGCCACACACATGCCTAGAGCTGTGAGGGGAGCACTGGTGCACGCAGATGCTGATGCTGATGATGACTGTACGCCCAGAGGGGAGCACTGGTGCAGTGCTACAGAAGAGGGCGCCTGGCAGCAGCGCTGTCCAGCCATGCCACACACATGCCCAGCGCCTGCAGGGGAGAGACTGCTGTGGTATCCAGAGACAGCAGATACACCCCCCCTCCTGCCACCACTGCTGCTGCCTCTCCTGCTGCTGCGTTTGCACCCGTCGCTGCACCTGCTGCTAAACCTGTCGCTGCAACCACTGCAGCACTCACTGCAGCTGCACCTGCTGTCGCTGCTGCTGCAGCAGTGGCCAGCACACCAGGCGCACTCACCCTCCTGTCCTGCCCTGCTCCCTCGCCCCCACTGCCCCCTTCCCCTCGTCCTCCCCTCATCCTCACCAGCCGCACCACACACGCCCCTGCTGCCCCGTCCCCACCCCCCACCCTCTCCCCTTCCCCTTTATCCCGCAGATGCACCTCCAAAACCGCAGTGGCACCACCAACACCAGCAGTACCAACACCAGCAGCACCAGACAAATGAGTAGCAGCAGGGACAGCAGCAGCGCCACCCACATGCGCCACCAGCTGCACATTCCGAAAATGCTCTGTGCCTTGGCCTGCCTGCCCTGTGTTCCCTCCACTCCCTCCCTCTCCACTGCCCCCCTGCCCCGCCGTACGTCCCAGCCCTGCCAGCAGAGTGCACTCCATCACCCACCCGCTGCTGCTGCCGCCGCTGCCACCACCACTGCTGCTAATGCTGCTGCCAGCGCTACTGGTGTTGGTCCACAGTCGAGGCATGCCGTGGGGTACTGCAGGGGGTGCAGCAGCAGGAGAGGCGATGAACCGAATCAGAGCCTCTGCCTTGCCTGCCAGCTGCACGCTGCTGCCGCTGCCGCTGCCACTACCACTGCCGCTGCCACTGCCACTGCCACTGCTGCTGCCAGCACTGGTGCTGCGGCTGCGGTTACCACCAGGGTTAGCTGATGTTCCTGCTGCCGCCCCGCCCCGCCTGCTGAACGCAGCTAGTGGTGATGGTGGTGGTGGTGCTCCTGACAGCGCCAGTGGCCCTGAGAACGAGGCTGACGGTCGCATGAGAGGAGCAGCAGCATCTTGCGAATTCAGAACCATGGCTGATGCTTGGGCGTGCGGATGGGAGTGTGCAAGCACGAGGGCATGGGGATGGTGATATGGATGGCGGGACTGCAGCGAGGGCATGGATGCAGATGACCTCAGCAGTGCACCACCGTCACCAGCGCCACCACCACTGGAGCATGCTGTGTCCTCTGTGGAGTCAACCGAGTCAACGCTGTCCCCTGAGGCAACCGAATCACCTGAGTCAGCCGAGTCAACCGAGTCAACAGCATCAACAGAATCGTGCTGCTCACAGCCTTGAACGCTTCCCCCACTCCCCCCATTCCCCCCACTCCCCCCATTCCCCTCGCTCCCCCTGCTGTTGCCGCTGCAGCAGCTGTCCTCGCTGGCAGCTGGTTCCTCCTCCTCCCGCCATGGCGTCCCCTCCACTACGCTGGCTGACTTGGTATCTCCTGCCTGCTCGCCCCCTGCCTTGTGCGCCCCACTGTCCACGTCAGCACCACTGCCCGCGTCAGCAACACTGCCCACGTCACTTCCGCCCTCTCCCGCCCTCCCCACTCGCTGATCCCCCTGTTGCTTCCGCCTTCTCTCCTCCCCCGTCCCTATGGCCCCTTCCCTCGCCTGCCCACTCCCCACTCCCTTCCCCCCTTCCCCACTTTCACTGCCCCCCTCCTCCGCCCCTGCCTCTCTCCGCCTTTCCGCCCCCACAAGCTCCCCTGAACTCTCCGCATCTCCACACACTTGCCTGTCTTTCCCTTCTACCCCTTCCCTGTCCGCCTTCCCCGCCCACCTGCTCCGCATCCCCTCGTCCGCGCCCGCGCCCCTCTCTCCGACCCCCCACGCGTCTACCCACGCCCACCCGCTCCGCCTGTCCCCGCTCGCCCTCCCCCAACTGCCCACCACACCGCCGCCACCTCCGCCATCCCCGCCCCCGCCAGCACCACCACTCTCCCGGGCGCCCGCGCCCTTTATGGCGCGGAGAAACGCGGAAGCGGAGCTCTCCGCCCCGCCCTTGAAACTGTCAGCCGCGCCCTTCAAGCTCTCCGCCGCGCCTCCGCGCCCGCGCGGCCCCCACCTGCCGCTGCCCCACAGCTGCGCGCCGCTCCCCTGCTGCGCGCCGCCACGGTGCAACGCGCCCTTGCATTCCGCCCCTTCGTTACTGGAACACTTCTCAATCGACTCAACAGTCACCTCGTTACAAGCACACTCCTCGCCGCTCTCCTGCGCGCCCCTGAAGACACGCCACAACGCGTTGCTCATACTCGCACCCGCAGTAGCACTCCCACTCGCACTCCCTTTATAATATCCTGCGCTGCCCTTCACGACCCCGTTCTCCGGCCCCACAGCTTCCAACTCGTTACTGTCACCCCCCTCGCGGCGTTCTCCGCTTGCGTGCGCCCCCGTGCTTCCCCGCGCCGCGACACTCGCCACCTGCGGGCGGGGGGCGACGGGCGGGTGCGGCGTTACGCGCGCTTGCTTCCACACGGCGACGTGCAATACACTAAAGCGAGTCTGCGTATAGAGGGGACGCGGTCGTACCTGAGTCCAGGATACGCCGAATACACTTTGCGGCTTGCCTTTCTCTGCCCCTTCCCTCTGCGACTCTTCTCGCTGCGACCCTCCCCCCTGCGTCGCTTCTTCCTGCGACTCGCTCTGCTCGTCACCCGTCCGCTCGTCGTCGCCCTTCGCTCGCGCATTTCCTGAGCCTCGCCGCGCATTCCATGTCAGCCATCCCCCTGCTGCTCCTAACCCCCCAATCCCCCGCGCCCCTCCTCCCCCCGCTCCTCCCCATCCTCTCGCGCCGTCTTCCCCCCCCGTTCCGCCGCCCCTGCCGCCCTTCGCGGGCAGCCATCCAATGAGCAGCGGCGCGAAGGCCGCTCGCTCTGAAGCCACGTGCCGGGGAGACGCGTCGGCGTTTTCGGAGGCAGGCGCATCGCCGTCGATCACGGCAGCACCGGCGAGGCTGGACGACGCACGATCGACATGCGACAACCCTCTCGGGAAAAGAAAATCGCCGTGCGACAACGATTTTCCCTTCTTGCGACGAAACCCCTTTCCGGATTTAAAATCTCTGCCCGCCTTCCCGCCCTTGCCGGGAGCATCCGCTTTCTTGCTTCCGCCGCGCGGCGGCGAGATCTCCTCCCCCGATGCGCTCCGCGCTCTCCCCTCACTCTCTCCGCCTTCCCCCCGCCCCCGCGCCCGCGCCCGCCCTCGCTCATCGGCCGCACCCCGTTGCGGCCTGCTTTCTGTAACATCGTCGTAGCTGCTGCTTCGATGCATTTCGCCATCGTTGGTAACCGTTCCGTGCGGTTCGCTGCTAGTGGTACCATCCTTTGTCGCCGTGGTTCGCGGCGTGCATGACGCTAGAATGAAATGCGTGCCGCCGTAGTTCCCTCGCACGCATCCCACCACCTCGCCTGCGACTCGAAATGAGTCGTCTGGGCCGAACGGTGACGCAGCAGATGGGCCTGCTGACGTGGCAGTACGTGGGGCCGCGTGGTCGCGGATGAGGTACTCCGACGACGAAGGCGACGCCGCGTCGCGCGGCTGCCGCACCGCGGTCAGAAAAACGGCGCGATCGTGCGGCGCGGCGAGGAATTGCGAGAGAGTGAGGAGGGAGGGCGAGGCGAATAGAAACGAGGGAGCCGCCGCGACTAAGGAGGGGGAGGAGGCATGCTCGGCGTGGACTTGCAGAGTGAAGTGCGTCAGATGTGCCATGTGGCACTTGCCGATCGAATGACAGAGGCGAAGTTATCGATATGGGTTATCTGATACGGCATAAGCGTTTCAAGCTGAAGAGCATCAGTGCACTAGCGTCTAACGGAGAGATCAGGATGTGCCGTAGAGGCGGACAAAGCAGTAAATTTTGATAGACGACGGAAAAAAAAAACACATTAATCTTTATAGCATACCAAGTAACTACGAGAAGGGGATTATGGCGCAGACCACTCTATACTTAGTCATATCAGCCATGACTGACGTCAGGTGAGATACCAATCGCGCAGGATGAGCTGATTGCCAGTTGCCAGGAAGTAGAGCATCCGTCAGCATTTTCCCCAGTCGGCCATCCTGATGCGAAGGCAACAGAGCCGAACCAACCAGCAAGGGCTGTTTGGATTGAGGGTGAGGGCTGTTTTCCGAAAGCACAGTTGTTGGAACCACAGCATGAAACACCTGGCATACTGAATTTAACACCAATCAAGCAGCAATACCGTGCTTCCCCCAAGAGATTTCAGTTCCAAGATGAAAATAATCCGAATGAAACTTCCTGAGTGCAACCATGTGAAAATGGGGTCTAAAGTCAATTCGAATTTTCACACCGCCTCAAGCCGCCATTGTCACGTCTGCGTCGCCCTCCGCCTTCTGTCTGGCGACGCTCCAAGTCTGTCGCAGGCGACTCTGCGAATACGTCAGACAAAAACTTCCCGCCTTCCGCCCTCGGAACCTGATCGCAGCACCACAATTGACGAGTCAGCAACGACAGTAAGAAATTGCGGCGACGACTTCGTTGTGCGTCTGTGACCAGAAATAAATGGAAATACCTTTACAGCATCTCGAGATAAGTACAGACCAGTACAACAAACGGGTGCCACATTACTGAGAACAATTGACTGCCTTTCCACAAACAGTGGTCATGGCGATTCTTTCAGCCAATGGAGACCATGGATCAATCGCGTTAGGGCGCGTCCCCTCCCTCGATCGATCCTGCCCTCGATCGATCGAGGGACAGATACAATGTCGCGATTGACAAGGTAACCAGATTTCGAGGAGGCTTGCGAATCTGCAGTAACTAGTGCCTAACGATCTTGTCACCTCCGCTGTGACGATCGATGTGCCCTCGTGGCCACACCGATAGTATTCTCGATCCTGTCACCCAGGGATCGAGATCGATCCGCTGTTGTCACCTCCCACCAATCCCACCCCAAACCTGCGATCGGTGTGCCCGATCGGCTCTTCACAGCGATCGCGCGATCGATCGAGGGAGGGGACGCGCCTAGTCACAGGCTGGCTTTGTACCCCGTAATAGCAGCTACGCTAGGTATGATGCCGCCTATGGTTATGGATGACACTCTCCAGGTTTATGCGTTCAGCACATCTACACCTTACGATGGAGCATCTGTACTGCTCGATATCAACGCGGTAATGGTGAGTAAAGACGACAGCGCGTACAGTGCTTCAGTAACAAAACTGATTCTGTTGTGAAACGCTGTCCGACTCCAGACCAGACCATATAAAGATCGCACAGCAAGTTCACGCACACGGTGCTCATTGCGATTCGATTTCAGCCAAACGTTGCACGTGCTGGCTTTGCTTTCATCTCCTTCCACCACACAGCAACGTAATAAACCTTGGCAAGCCCCTGGAAACCCCGCGAATGCTTCAGCGCTGCCATGCCAACCTCGCTGCCACTGAAAGAGGTTTGGCCCGAACCAGTTGCTGTAGCGCAACGTGACCCAACTCATGCCCAGCCCCACTCACCCGCTCATAGATAAGAGAGCTTTCACATCAACATTATTGCTATTTCCCCATCCATCCATGTTAGGCGCTGCCATGGCTGTCACCTCCTCGACCTCGATGCCGCACGGCGCGCACCACCGGCGGGTGTGGTCGCTCATCTGCTGCCGCAACCCCGCCACGCACTCGTTTTACGGCGACGACGCCGACACGGAGAGCAGCACGCGCGGCGATGCGCGGCCGGCAGCAGCGGAAGCGGAGAAGCCGGCGGAACCGGCGCAGCAAGTGCGGGGAGACGTCGATGGAACTTCGTTACTATCACCGAAGGAAATGGTGGAAGGTGCAGTTAGCGGGGGTGCGTCACGCGCTAAGTCGGCAGTAAGAGTTGGGACGTCATGCGACACGCCGATCGATCATGTAGCAGGAGCCGCGTCATCATCCGACCTGTCCAGTAGCGTATCCACGTCAGCACCGCATTCCGCGTTTAGCGCCGCGGGTTCCCCCTTTCGAGCATCGTTAGGTTACAGAGAATCTGCCGCAACAGTTGATGCCACGCCTCCGCCGGAGATTATGGACATGTGGAAGAACCTCGAAGCGCCGACATCTCCTAAGAGCAGCTCCTCCGCGTCTCGTAAGATGCGCGCCGCACATTCCGCCGAGGCCTCGTTTCTTCCCTCGCACCGCGCGGCTGTGCGCGTGGAAGTTCCGCATTCCCCGGCGAATCTCTCGGACTCCGCCGTTTCGCCGACGAACTCCGACGCAAGCGTGCCAAGGACTCCGGGCGGCACTTATTTGTCGTTTTCAAGCGCCCCCTCGCCCCGCACTTTGCAATGCGCGTACTCGCTACAAACCGGCGCGCTTATCATCACGCCCAGCCCCTCCAATTGGGCGGCTATTGGCGGAAACGGCGGGGCGCGGGAGAGCGAGAGACCGCACACTTCGCCGGTGGGAACGCGGAAAACGGGGGTAATTGTGGGGTGGGAGCAGGAGGCGCTGCGATGGGAAGAGGCGGAGCAGCAGCGGTTGCGCATGGAGGGGGAGGTGCGCGGAATGGTTGCGCACCTCATGGGGGAGCTGCGCGCGGTAAGGGGCGCGGCGCAACAGCTGGCGGAACCGGTTTGCGCGGATGTGGCGGAAAGCTGCGGGGAGAAAGAAATCGCGGGCGGCGGAGAGGGAAGAGCGGAATGTGCGGGAGGCGCTGAAGAGTTGGCGGCGGTATCGGCGGCAGCGCGTGCGGTTCGGCTGCTGGTGAAGAGCAGCGACGCGAATCGCAGCATCGTGGCGGCTGTGCCGGGCGCCATCGGCGCGCTCGTGGAGGTGGCGGACGCGCTGCTGCTGGCGGAGAGCGCGCGGATCCGGGGAGGTGAGGGGCGGAGAGCGCGGAGAGCAAGCGCGGCGGGCGAGGCGGAGAGTAGAAGCGAGCGCGAGGGAAGGAGCGAAGGGGAAAGGGCAGTGGAGGGGGCAGCGCGGGCTCTAGGTGGGGCGGAACGCGGAGAGGAGAGGTCGGGGACAGGAGGCGGGGAAAGCGCAGCAGCCTGCGGGGCGATGGTGGCGGGTAAAGGGGAAGCGGAGGACGCTGAAACGGCGGAATCGGCGGAGGCAGCAGAAGGGGAACGGCGAGAGGCGGTGGGCGCGAGCGTGCAGCAGGCGTGGACGCGGGAGGCGGTGGGTGCGGAGAGCGCGCGGAGGGAGAGCGCGCGGGAGGCGGTGGGGCACGCGGTGACAGCGCTGCTGAACCTGTCGCTGTCGCCCGCCACTCACGGCGCCCTGCTGGCGGAGGGCGCCGTGGACGCCCTCTCCCGCCTCGTGGCCCGCCCCTGCTGCCCTCATGGTCATGGCGGCACTGGTGATGGCGGCACTGGTGGTGGCGGTAGTGGCGGTGGCAGCAGTGGTGCCAGCAGCACTGGTGGTGGTGATGGAGAGGGGAGAATGGGGGATGGAGGGGCCTGCATGGGAGAGGAGGGGGCGTGCAGGGGGGATGATGAGGGGACAGCGGGCTCAGGTGGATTGCCATCGGTGGTGTCACAGGAGGCACGGGAGAATGCAGCAGCTGCTCTCTTCATGCTCACCTCGTCGCCACTCCCACCCTCCCTCTCCTCTGCACACTCCACCTCTCTCTCCTCCTCCACCTCCTCTCTCACCGGCCCTTCCCTCTCCACCGCCCACCTTGCCCTCCTCTCCTCTTCCTTCCCCCAGCAAGAGCCAGCCCTCACTGGCAACCACCCCTCAAACCCCAACCCGACTGCTCCCGATCCGCTCAGCACCGCTTTGAACCTCTTTGGATGCGATCCGGACGCAATGCGGCGGCGGGTGGCAGCCACGGCAGGTGCATTCGCCGGCCTGGTGCACATGCTGCCGCCCTCGCCCGCCCGCTCCCTGCGCGGCCGCAAGGACGCCGCCCTCACGCTCTTCAACCTCTCCCTCTGCGCCGACCTCGTCCCCGCAATCATCGCGGCCGGCGCCGTTTGTCCTCTAGTGCGGATGCTAGAGGAGGAGGAGGGGGGGATGCGGCTGGGCCTGGAGGAGAAAGCAGTGGCAGTGCTGGCGAGGCTGGCGCAGGCCAAGGAGGGCAGCAGGCAGATTCTTGCCGCCGGTGGTATACCACCACTGGTGGAGCTGCTGGGGGCGAGCAGCACGGCTCTGGGGGCATCTCCATCCATGGCTTCTCTGGCAGAGCTGAGTGCCGTGTCAGAGGAAGGGCCGGGTGGGGGAGGGGGAGGGACGGGAAATGTGGGGAGTGGGGCAGGGGAGCAGCAGCGGTGGAGGAGGGTGCAGAAGGATGTGGGGGCGGTGCTGGTGAGAGTGGTGGAGGAGGAGGGTGCACGGCAGGAGATGCTGGAGGAGGGTGCGCTGCTGGTGCTGCGCAAGATGAGGCACCGCGGGTCGTCGAGAGCTCGACTCACGGTAGGTCGATGGGTCATGACGGGAATGGGTCATGACGGGAATGGGTCATGACGGGAATGGGTCATGACGGGAATGGGTCATGACGGGAATGGGTCATGACGGGAATGGGTCATGACGGGAATGGGTCATGACGGGAATGGGTCATGACGGGAATGGGTCATGACGGGAATGGGTCATGACGGGAATGGGTCATGACGGGAATGGGTCATGACGGGAATGGGTCATGACGGGAATGGGTCATGACGGGAATGGGTCATGACGGGAATGGGTCATGACGGGAATGGGTCATGACGGGAATGGGTCATGACGGGAATGGGTCATGACGGGAATGGGTCATGACGGGAATGGGTCATGATGGGAATGGGTCATGACGGGAATGGGTCATGACGGGAATGGGTCATGACGGGAATGGGTCATGACGGGAATGGGTCATGACGGGAATGGGTCATGACGGGAATGGGTCATGACGGGAATGGGTCATGACGGGAATGGGTCATGACGGGAATGGGTCATGACGGGAATGGGTCATGACGGGAATGGGTCATGACGGGAATGGGTCATGACGGGAATGGGTCATGACGGGAATGGGTCATGACGGGAATGGGTCATGACGGGAATGGGTCATGACGGGAATGGGTCATGACGGGAATGGGTCATGACGGGAATGGGTCATGGAAGTTGTTAGTGAATGCGAGGATCTGGGAGTGAGGATGGGGTGTGTTTATCTGTGTGGCTGTTATCACAACCAACCCAAGCTCAGGCGGTGCCAGTGGACGTTGCCAAACGTCTTAGTGATATTTTCTCATGCTCGTTTGCTTACAATGCCTGTGTTTCTGTGTTCTGCAGGCTAACCAGTTGCTGGATGCACTGCAAAGCAAGTCCACACATTAGCGGAGCAGATGTTAGGGGTTCACTATTGACTATTCCAAGTAATGTCACCCCTTAGATCCTTGTGTGTGGCTGAGTCAGAACCTGAATGGAAGGGAGAAATATGTATGATATTAAATTGTTCTTCTGGTTTGCATTCTACATTATACGAATGATGATTACATATTTGGAAAGACAAGAAGCGAAGTAATGTTTTTCGATCCTTATTGCGTTTCTCGGCTAGGTACACCGAACGATTCTCATTTCCCTGAAGTGTGGGGTTTCGCGAAAGTGGTGGCTGTGGTATCACCTTCCGCCGATAGTGACCTGGCGAATCGTGATTCGAAAGGCGTGCTATGTTCGCACGCATCGATGATCAGCTGGCTCTCCTGGGACTTCAACCTGACGAATTCGAACGGTCAAGATGAACTCCCGCGTCAATCGAGGGCTCCGACCCCAGGGAGCATTGACAAATCCCGCGGTCCCATTTTCCCGCCATCCGTCCTCCGTTCCCTCGGGGTCACCCCATCGCAATGTTCGGTGATGGCGTCGCCCATCGGGTTTTGATCTGTCGCCCATCGAGCTTTGCGCTGTCGCCCAGGGAAACCTCCACACACTGACGTGACGATAATAAGAATCCGAATTCATTTTCCCCTTCAGTATCCTAGCTTGCTTCAGTTTCCCTCTGTCCATAGGCCATTTTGTCCCACAGATTCAGCTCTTCTTCCAAATTCAGAGCCATGGCCACGGAAACTTTCCTTTTCACTTCCGAATCCGTGAACGAGGGACACCCTGACAAGCTTTGCGATCAGGTAAATTTGGTTTTTTCCCCTAAAAGTGTTCAGAAAGTCCATTAGCTCCCTCGGTTCGCTGACGAATCTGGATTCAAATTATTGATGAGTGATGTACGGATTTATCAAGCTAGCTTCTGTATGTCCCTGCGTGTGCGCTTGGATTTACAGGTGTCCGATGCCGTTCTCGATGCGTGCCTGGAGCAAGACCCCGACAGCAAGGTGGCGTGCGAGTCGTGCACCAAGACCAACATGGTGATGATCTTCGGCGAGATCACGACCAAGGCCAAGCTCGACTACGAGAAGATCGTGCGCGACACCGTCAGGAACATCGGCTTCGTCTCCGACGACGTCGGCCTCGACTGCGACAAGTGCAATGTACGCCCTCCTAAAATCTCCGATTTGATTTATGTTTTTGTCTTTCTTTGCTTGAAAAATTCCTTCCGCGGGTTTCACAAATCCATCGTCCTAGTAAGCGTAGCGTATTGTCACTCAGATGGATTCGTACTGACGGTTCACTACTGGTGGAATATGCAGGTTCTGATCAACATCGAGCAGCAGAGCCCCGACATTGGGCAGGGTGTGCACGGCATGGGCACCAAGAAGCCCGAGGAGGTCGGCGCTGGTGACCAGGGCCACATGTTCGGCTATGCCACCGACGAGACCCCCGAGCTCATGCCGCTCACGCACGTGCTCGCCACGCAGCTGGGCGCGAAGCTCACGGAGGTGCGCAAGAACGGCGTGTGCCCGTGGCTGCGGCCCGACGGCAAGACGCAGGTGACCGTTGAGTACAAGAACGAGGGCGGCGCGATGGTGCCGATCCGCGTGCACACGGTGCTCATCTCCACGCAGCACGACGAGACGGTGACCAACGAGAAGATCGCGGCGGATCTCAAGGAGCACGTGATCAAGCCCGTCATCCCCGCTAAGTACCTCGACGACAACACCATCTTCCACCTTAACCCCTCCGGCCGCTTCGTCATCGGCGGTCCCCACGGTGATGCCGGTCTTACCGGGCGGAAGATCATCATCGACACGTACGGCGGGTGGGGCGCGCACGGAGGTGGCGCCTTCTCCGGGAAGGACCCCACCAAGGTGGATCGCTCCGGCGCGTATGTTGCCCGCCAGGCCGCCAAGAGCATCGTCGCTTCCGGCCTCGCCAGGCGCGCCCTCACTCAGGTAAGATTGGAAGGCGGTTTGTAGGGTTTATGAATCATGGGTTGAAGTAAATGGCGTTTGTTTCGTGACCACCCCGAAGAAACAGATCCACGTCACACACCACCCGCACCCTGTTGACGATGCTCTCAAGAATGAATTTAGGTGGATACGTGGATCTGAGCAACAAGTACCATATTTTAGCTGGTACTGCGGTTAGTTCATCTATTTTGGTGCTAACTCACTTACATCCTCCGACTATCCTTCTGGCAGGTCTCGTACGCCATCGGTGTGCCCGAGCCGCTGTCGATCTTCGTGGACACGTACGGCACTGGCAAGATCCCCGATAAGGAGATCCTCGAGCTAGTGAAGGAGGCGTTCGACTTCCGGCCGGGCATGATCTCGATCAACCTGGACCTGAAGAAGGGCGGCAACAAGCGTTACCAGAAGACGGCCGCGTACGGCCACTTCGGCCGCGACGACCCCGACTTCACGTGGGAGGTGGTCAAGGAGCTCAAGCCCAAGACCGTCGCTTAGGAGGGTCCGCGTCTGAACCAAGATATTGTGTAGGTGATACCTGGTAGGTGATACCTGGACAGTGCTAGACTTTTTATACGCCTGCAAAAGCGCAATGAATTATATTTTCCTTCGCAACAACACTCAGCTCAGCTAATTCTCAAAGGGGAGAGGGGCTGTGTATTGGCCTCCTGACGGATGCATGAAACATCAAGATCAGTCCGAACCATTACTGGCTTCAATGCTGTACAATACCTCTTGTCAAGCAGTAAGGGACCCCTTGCAAAAAACTACTGCACGCCTTTTACACAGCACATTCATGTGATAGAACAACTGCATGGCTACAGGCACTTACTGGCTGTGGTCCATTACTTGATAAGCAGAGAGGAAGCAGAGAAAGCACGTCTGTTGCTTGAGCAGGCACCCCACTGGTTGGAAAGCAGGCTGGGTGGGCACAGCTGGGAGGGCAGACATCCCACCAGTGAGTGAGGGAACGTGCAGTCAGCCAGAGGAGGTGCGGGAGTAGTGGCAGTGCATGAGTTGTTGAGCAATGCAGCCGCTGGTGTTGAGGGAACAGCAGGTGGGTGAAGCCTGAACCTTGGGAATTGCCCCTAGTGCGTGATGCACTTCCCACCACCCATCATGTTGTCAGTGCTCTCAGCAATTACTATTGACTTGTCAGGTATTTACATGTATGGTATTTGTTTCGATTCTTCAATCCGTGGCAGTGCAGGTTTTGGAGTAGAAAATATAAATTGCTGTTGGCTGAAGTTTACAAATGTAAGCAAGCATCAACAATCACCCACTGCTTCCAACTAATAACGAGATTTTTACGGCATGGTGCCGGAAAACGGCTTTTCCCTCCAACAGACGGTTGACGTGACGGTAAACTCAAATTCGAAACTCTGGTCTGACACTTGCACGAGATCCGAGCCAATAGTGTAGCTGCCTATCTGCTAACCTCACCTCACCATCACCATCCTATCCAACGCCGTACAAGTCAGGACCAGCCCCCCGCAAAATCACGGTAACATTTCTTGCACAGCGGTTTATGGTAACTTTCGAACCCTGGCGAAACGTTAGTCCGCTCGCCAGCTCTTCGGACAGTCTTCGCGGCTCCCCGCCGTTCAGCGTGTTGGGAACAAATAGTCTTAAGCGCCTCAGTCGTGTCGAAACTCAAGACACAAGCGAAGCAGCTCAAATCGAAGCACCGCGAGTCAACCCTCAGAGGTTAACATAACCGCTGGAGGTTACGAGAAAGTCAAAGGTCAGCGACCTTTGACCTGACGCAGCGCGACAGCAAGGACACACAACTGACTCGACATTGAGTAGTTGCCCGAGTCGCACTGTATCGAACCGCAACAGTAAAACAGTTACAATTATGTCTCTTCATATTCTCTGTACTCATATATATTCCTGTATCTCTTTGCTTTAATCAACTTACTTTGCCCTCACATACTAGCGCAAGGTGGTTCAAGGACTTTATTCAAACGCTTCCGCTACTACATCATTTACTCAGACTTTAACTCTACTAAAGATCCTAGGGCGTTCAGCCCAACACAGCGCACCTCCTCTGGCGACCATCCAAGGCTTCCCGCCTCGTCAGCGCAAAATTTCCGCAACCAGAGTCTGCAGCAGCAGCGGCGTCTCCCGCCTTGGGGTTGTTCTGGAGAGAGGGACCTTTCTCGGCTTGAATGGCGACTTGGCTCCTCACTTCCCTTCCCTCACGTCCCTTCCTCTCCACCCCCCTCCTCCCCTCACCTCCACTGACTAGGCCATCGCTCTCAGGTGTAGTTGATCGACCGAACCTCTTTCGCGTGGTACCACGTAGAAACGTGAGTAACCAAACTCAACCGAATTACCGAACTTGGATCGGCCTCACCATGGACTAGTACACCTCCGCTAGGGCTTTCCTTCTGCCCTGTGTGTGAATCTGCTCCACGGCGACTCATCTCACTTCCGCTAGCCTCGCATTCCCTTCCATTCCACAATCCCTCTCGCTTAGTCCTGCTCCGCGAGTTCTTTCGGGCGCTTGCTTGCTAACTCCGTCCGTCCGTCCATGGCTGCTTCTTCAGTAATGACGCGTGCGTCAAAATTAGCAATCGCTTGAGACTAAGCTTAGGCTTCTAATCAAAACGCTCAACAGTCCTAATTGGACGACCGTCAGATCATTTTCTGGACGACCCTCAGATCGTTTTCTCTATACCGTCATATCTTGTTTAACGTGGAGCAACTCTTTATTTCCATAGAATCTAGAAGCTAGAAGTCTATCAACTCTGTTTGAGCAAATAAGATCCCATCAACTTCGTCTAAGATCAGTTTTTGTTTGACGTCAGGCTCTCAACCTGAACATTCCTTACACGATGACGTTTCCCGTCGGTCATTCTCCGTTCTACGACGGCGTTAGCGTGGTTAGGGTTCTTATAGGACGATGCGACTTAGGACGATGCGTCGCTCGCGACGTTGCGACGGAAGAGGAGTTTCATTCGGCTTGAAATGAAGCATTTGTTCTTGCTATTTTGCACACGCTAGGCCCTTGTTCTTGCAATTTTGCACACGCTA